AACACCTACAATTCATAGTGCCTTCATATAAAAAAACAATCTAAAGTCATAATTTTCTCTTTGGCTTCATACTTTTCTATGCATTTCTTTTTCCAGCAGCACTCTACAGATCCAATGGGTTTCTCATGCTAGATGAGTAAAAAAAGGAACTCTAATATAGTGTATGGAAAACGCCCTGGCTTTTGGGGTCACTGCCTGGCTTCTGAGTAACTTCTCATGGCTGCCTTGTGCATCCTTTTGACTGAAGTCTGTTCTCGCTGGTCTTACAAGCAGGTATTAAACACTTTAGGACAGGGAACAACCTTTGATTTGTGGGTGTATAGAATCTTGCATCATTTTGGGAAGGTGTATAGCCTAGGCTCAGAGCTTCTCACAGCTACAATAACCTAAACATTAAATTACATAAAGACATGTTTAATGTTCTTAAAGATGGCTAGGTTAAGGCACAAGGCAAAACCTGTCCCTGGCAGATTCATGTTACCTGCCTCAAGTGTTCTTCAGACTGTGAGAAGGATCAGCTCCTTCCTTCCTTCCTTGCAGGTCTTCTCTTCCATAGGGAGCCAAGTAGGGTGCCCCATGAGAGTATAATTCTGAACACTGCAATGACCATGGTGTCTTAACTCCATCTCCATGTCATGCAGATGTACATCTCTGAATGTAATTCAGTTTGTTGAAGATGTTTGTGCCATATAAGAGACTCCCTTATCTATTAATACAATATTACAAATACAGAGCTTACAGCAAAACTGGGGAACATTGCAGACTGCCAGTTTGCTCATCAGCTTCTTTGCAGCTTTGTGTTCTTCAGCCAGAGGCAATACAAGAAATTCATGTGCTTGTGCATTTCTGTGGGCAGACCTTTATGTTTCTGTGTAACAAGTGGAAACAAATGCTTCCACCTTCCTGGTGTGTCATATCCAAGAGACATTAATTGTTCAGCTGTTAAAAGGCCAGGGATTTCAGGAGTAACAAGGCACAATCTCAAGAGGAGCCCTTTCTGGGGATTGTGATAGAACAGAGTGATGGAGCTGTGTTGCTTTGTGTTTCAGGGAAGGATGATGAAATCCTACCTCCAGCTGTGGCCATCTTTTCCCCATCAAAGCAGGAGATCCAGCAGAAGAGCAAGGCCACGCTGGTGTGCCTGGCCTCTGGCTTCTACCCTGACCACCTGACTCTGGCCTGGAGGGTGAATGGTGTGAGAAGGACCGAGGGGGTGGGGACAGATGAGTCCTCCACACAGAATGGGAGCACCTACTCGCTGACCAGCCGACTGAGGATGCCAGCCTGGGAATGGTTCAACCCTTTGAATCGCTTTGAGTGTGTTGCCTATTTCTTTCACAATGGAACAACACAGTCAATAAACAAATTTATCTATGGTGATGCTGGTGAGTAAAAAAACATCTCTCACCGTGCTGTATAAGACAGAAATCACAAATCAAAAGAGCGTGTGTTATGATATGAACCTCATCTAGATGTATCTTCCATACAGGGTCTTCTTCTGGCACAAATAGATGCCTAACTAATATGTTGGTATTAGCATATGTCTCTTCCCATTCCTGGACCTCTGCACCTACATTACCATTACCCATCTAGAGTTTCTTCAGGCTTTCCACTGAGAAATCTCTGTAGTAGCGTAAATTGCACAGTACCATAAAAACAGCTAGTGTAGTAATATGCATTAGCCAGTGTTTTGTAAACTGAGACTTCTAAAATCTGTATTGTGTTTTCTTTGAAGAGAAACATGACTTTGTGTTCACTTTTGTCTTCCAGGCTGTGCACTCACAGAAGGTACGTGTGTCTTCTCACATAAGGAGAATTTTGCCTCTTCTCTCAGGCAATTATCTGTGTGTATTTTAATTCCAGCTTTACTGACACTAAGCACAACGTGTGGGAGATATCTGCTGTATGAATAGCTTCTTCTTTCTCCTCTAAGTGATTTGTATGTGATAGTAAAAATGAAAAAACAAAAAAAGGAAGAAAAGTTTTTTGGAGGGTTCTTTGTGCATGTTATATGTAGCTCTGCTTTGGGCTTTTGCTCTCCCATATGATTCCATTTTGAAAATAGAAGAAATCATGTTACCTTCCTGTAGATTAGAACTTATTCTTTATCATTTCCTCCAGTCGTAGAAGCTGACCTCCAATGGGAATATTCTTACTCGGCCAGGAAAGAAATGATCCATACTTATCCAAGTGATTCTGTCATCAGGGTTCAGGATATGATATTTCTTAGTGTCAAGTTTCCCTTCCCGAGTCACATTCCCTTCTACACTGCTGTCATATGTGGAGGATACTCATATTAAAAATTACATTTCTTTTCTCTTTGTATACATATTTGCACACTCCTATTTTTCAACAACTTCTTTAATGCTTGAGGAATCTTAAGGCTGAGCTAAGACAGAGCTGGTATCTCAGTCCTATGACAACCCCTTAAGAGTGAAAAATCTACAAGAATAAAACTTGTAGAAGCCGTGTTATTCTGACTTTCCTGACACATCAGCAGCACTTGTAAGGCCACTGACAATAATGAGACAAAATAAAAAATGTGCATCTTGTGATTCAGCCTATTTTGCATTCCTAAGAGGGGATTTGGATGAACAGCCCAGTTCATCAGTAGATGTGGCAACTCAGCACTTTCCTGGCATGAAGGCAATCTCTGTCTTTCCTAGACTTGCTTTCTCTTTTGGTTCTTTGAGTCACTATGGTCTGTTGCATTCCCTGTTTCCTGGCGCCAACTGAGCCACTCATTTGGCTCTAGTTCCTTTCTGTGTCTTAGCTAAAGATTTCAAGGGTTCTCATTTGATGACAGCTCCATTAGAACCAGCATCTCATGGTGATGATGATGATGATGATGATGATG